ATGAGAAACTTTTGTTAGGGAAGTAGGGTTATCTTTATTTACCACAAGCTTTAGAGGGATACAAGTGGGTAGAAAGAAAGAAAGAAGCATCACTGAATTTTGAATTCTTTAAAGTTTAATATCACAGATCAATCCTTATAATGCTGCTTTTTCTCCTCTAAAAATTCATGGGGAAAATGGATTCTTAACACAAAAAATAATTTCTCAGTGATAATTAAGCTTACAGCTATTAGTGATACATTAATTATGATTGAAATACTATTTTATTTTGTCTATTTTGTCTACTTTCAGTACAGGTAAAAATGGTTACCTAGGTAATCTACTGTAATGGTCAAGACTTGTTTTCCAGTGAGTTCCCTCTCTGCTGGTTTTTCAGACAAACTTTCTATATAACAGGTTCTGTACTCTACACTATGCATACATCAATGCATACAGTCTTCCTGAAGAGAAACTCAAGAGTAGTAGAAGAAGTTCAAGGCAGTTAAATACCCTGCCCAAACCTATGGAGCTAGTAGAACTAGGATTTGAACCCTACTCTGCCTTCAAAGTCCAACTAAGGGCTTTTATAAATGTTGTCTGTATAAAGCAGGGTGAATGGAAGCAATATACCAAATACAATACACCAAACCAAGAATCAAATCCAAAACTTCTTTGTTTTCAGGCTTTCTAGCCTCATAATATATTACTAATCTCTGTTTCCTTTTTAATTTGCCTTAATGTCTTCTATGTTATAAAAATCCTCAATTAGTAAAACTCCAGATTTATAGAAATAATAAGTCAAGAAATTATTTGCTACATTAATTACTTTTTGTCTTATAAAAAGGATTACTTTATATATCCCTACTGAAATGTATGTTTCCAGTCAAAATTCAATTAATTTATCTTCTTAGCATTTGTTATTCTATATACTGTCTACATTCACTGCAGAGGTTAAACAGAAGATAAAATACAGTTTTGAATTTCAGAGGACTTGTATCCATGAGCACTGTATAGAATTGTTGAATCACTATATGGTACATCCGAAACAAATTGTATGTTAACTATCCTGGAATTAAATTGAAAACTTAATAAAATTAGAAAAAAAAAAGAACTTGAACCCAGTAGTGATGGAGGAAATAAAAACAAATAATTAGTAACAAAAGCAAAACTAAAATAAGCATACTGAAAATATATGTTGCTCTGGGGGTTAAAAAAAAACAACTAAGAAATTCAGTGTCAGAACAAGGCATGAAGGGTATGTAGAGTGCTAATGGGAAAAGGAATTAATAGAATGGAAGAAACTATCTATTGTACATGTACCTAGGTGAGCATGATGCCAAGGGAAGTGCATGTACTCTCTTGCTTAAGACATGAGGTTCTTGCCATAAAGTGTGAAAGAAAAGGCTGGGAGGGAAGGAAGATGCCTTGAAAACCATGCTGAGTTATTTTTACTTAAGAGAGTCGTTGATTTTTTTTAAATGTTTATTTATTTTTGAGAGAGAGACAGAGCATGAGCAGGGAAGGGGCAGAGAGCAAGGGAGACACAGAATCCGAAGCAGGCTCCAGGCTCTGAGCTGTCAGCACAGAGCCTGACGCAGGACTCGAACCCACGAACTGTGAGATCATGACCTGCGCTGAAGTTGGACACTTAACCAACTGAGCCACCCAGGCGCCCCAAGAGAGTCATTGATGGTTTTTGACCTGGCAAGTTATGTGTTAGATAAGTCGCTCTGGGACTGATGGGTAGAATTGACCAGATTCCGTAGACAGGAGGCTTGAGTTATTCTAAGCAAGCACTAGTTCTGCCCAAAGTAGATGACAATGGGAACAGAAAGAGGAATTGATAGGAAAGATTATTCCATACTAAGATGTATAGGACTCAGAAATTGAAAATTAAGGAAAAGACTGAGCCTGAGTATTCAAGAGATATTTCAGAGCAAAAAGTCAAGAAAAGAAACTTGTGGGCAGGTAGACAAGAGAGTCTCATGAGGTCACTTTTCAGAAGCATATTCTTTGCTTAAAAAAACAGAAGTTATATCATACTTTTAGAGTGGGTGACAACTGTATTTTCCTTGGCTAGATAAGGAATGAATCCATGTTAACTCAAGAAAGTGTTATATTATGCAAAGTCTATAACAAGATCTGTGTTTATGTCTGTAAAATAGAGTCAGTGATACTTTAAAAGGAAATTATAAGGTTTAATAGAGCTTTATATTGATAATGAGATTCCTGATGGCTTCAGACCATATTAAGTACCACTAATAAAAAGCTATGGTGTGATAAAAATTATTGCTATAACAATACTAGATGGCACTTTATCCTCTTCATTTCTTCTATTGAGTAAGAGGGATAGAATGTGTTGTTTTTCTTTAAAAATATCTTCTGTCTTAATGAGAGCAATGCAAGAATGTCTGTAAAAGTGAGTGTCTTTCAGTGGGCTTCTGGGTGCTCCCCACAAAACTGGATTTCTTTTGGTAAGGAAAGGTAAATGAATACAAAGTAGGCCACCGGCATTGTGTACCACAGTTTGTTATATGCTAGGATATATGATGTGCATGTATTATTTCATTTGATCTGTATAGAAAACCCTGTTTCTATAATAATCTTCATTTTACAGATGAGAAGATTTAAGATGAGAGCATTTAAGTAACTTGTCTCCAAATTAAACAGCTGGTGAGAATTTCTAGTTGAAGATAGTTGCAGTGGGAATTGTAAAGGGCAAATGGATGAATACAACTTATACATAGATATAAGAACCAAACAGCCTTGGTGACTGATCAAGTGTGAGATTGAACAGATTTAAGGCCAGGAGTCTTCTAGGATTCCTCCGGGGTTTCTGGCTTGCAAATAAGGTATAGAGTTGTTCCATCCCCTGGCATAGGGGACATGTGAGAAATACATATGCAAGGAGAAGATGAGTTTGAGCATGTGCCTGCTGTAAGACATGAGTGTGAGATATGCACGGGGATAGACTTAATAGGCTGCTGATTATGAGGATTAGGAGGCTTACAAGACAGGAATGGACTGGAGGTGGAGCTTTGGAGTCATCAGTTATGAATTAATCATAAAGACATGGATGAGTGTGTGATATTGCTCAAAGAGCATGTGTAGAAGAGAAGATAAAAGAGCTACGCGTGACACCCAGCAGCCTTCAAGGGGAGGTTAGAGAGACAAGCTCACAGATGGGACTGATAAGAGTGTCCAGAAAAGTGAAAATCCTCAGGGTACACACGGTTTCATTTTAGAGTTCAATGTTCAATGATGTCACTTCTTTGGGAAATAGCTATTACAATATTGCATCTCCTCTACATCTCTCCGTTGTCCTTGGTGTATTCAGTGGCACATTTTGCATTTCCATTAAAAGAGTAGGAAAAAAAAAGAGAAAATATGTTATTGAAATTGACAGTGCATGATGTGTGATTGGCGTGGGTATATGTATACTTGTCTATAAATGCGAGGATAAGTTTTGACCCAAGACTGATGAAATCTTCAAACCGACAAGCATTTACTTTTACATAATCCTGGGGGTAGGGACAAGGGGAGAGAAGACCTATTACAGTTCTTTCTTGTACTACTTTTATCCCAAGAGTCGGGATGATAGTAACTATGAAAGGTATATGCAGTTGTATATCTTGCCAAAATGTAACCCAAGTAGTCTAAGAAGGAGAAGTAATGTAAAATAAAGGTATCTTGGTTAACAGAAATTTCTGTCATAGAAATTTACATCATTTACACAACAAAACTGCCAGAAGAGGATACCTATGACCAGGATGACGTAACTCATATTTCTGGAGACTATTTCATGATGATAGGGTTGTGCTAGTTGATCTGCTTCTTCATGTTTATATGTATAGACTTGTAACAAATATGCAGTCTGTTCACTACAGGGTCAATAGACTTTAAATAACCCTCGTGAAAATAACATTACAATCATCTTCAATGAATTCAATTACACTGTGTTAACCTGGAATAAAGTTCCTGGTTTCCTTCCAATTTTAATATAAGGTGAGATGAGAATGTTTCAAAAGGCAGCTAGTAATCTTAAACATGTTGAAAATTAAATCAGAAATTTTAAGGCAGAAATATTTAGAAAAATAGAGGGAATATATTTAAAGTATTTGTTCAATGAAACAGTGGTAAAAGTGCAAGTTTTAAGTAGATTCTAGTTTAAAATCTAGAGTAGTCTCGGGGCACCTGGGTAGTTGAGTCGGTTAAATGTCTGACTTCAGCTCAGGTCATGATCTCATGGTCTGTGAGTTTGAACCCTGTGTCGGGCTCTTTGCTGACAGCTCAGAGCCTGGAGCCTGTTTCAGATTCTGTGTCTCCTCTCTCTTTGCCCCTCCTCCCACGCATGCTCTGTCTCTCTTACTCTCAAACATAAATAAAACATAAAATTTTTTTTAAAACCTAGAGTAGTCTGTTCAATTATTTTTAACCTCAGAACAAAATTGGTTTTTCTCATTTCAAACTAAAAAAGAAGGAAGCATAAATATTTGGAGTACTATGAAGCCATGGGCTAGCCTAAAGTTTATGGTTGACCTAATCTGTACTCCTAAGATATAATTTATATTACCAGTATTGTTAGTATCTTAGTGTTTGATTGATTGGTAATTTGACATGTAAAGTACTTCAAAGCATCTCTAAAGAGTCTTCCCCAAAATGATTTTTTTAAGGTAGATCTTCTTGTTTTATGCTTCTCCTTTATTTCCATGCATATTACTTGTTAAATATAGGGGAGGTTGTCTTTGTTCTTTTATCAGGTAAATGGAGGATTGAGTGTTCTTGAATTTATTTCTGTAATATTTTATATCAAATAATTTTTAGAATTCTATAAACAATGCATTGCTTTAGGAATATATTAATTAGATTTTAATTTGTAACCATTGAAGGAGTTACCATATTTACAGAACAAACACTTCATTCTTATACTCATTTATTTAACCATAAGTCATTAAATTTCTTTATGATGGGGCAAAGAATGGTTATTGTCTATTAAAATCTGATTTTTTTATTTGTTGTAGGTTTTATTGGGATTTAATAATGCTTATAATGATGGTTGGAAATCTGGTCATCATACCAGTTGGAATCACATTCTTTACAGAACAAACAACAACACCATGGATTATTTTCAATGTGGCATCAGATACAGTTTTCCTTTTGGACCTGATAATGAATTTTAGGACTGGCACTGTCAATGAAGACAGTTCTGAAATCATCCTGGACCCTAAAGTGATCAAGATGAATTATTTAAAAAGCTGGTTTGTGGTTGACTTCATCTCATCAATCCCAGTGGATTATATCTTTCTCATTGTAGAAAAAGGAATGGATTCAGAAGTTTACAAGACAGCCAGGGCACTTCGCATTGTGAGGTTTACAAAAATTCTCAGTCTCTTGCGTTTGTTGCGACTTTCAAGGTTAATTAGATACATACATCAGTGGGAAGAGGTAAGACATATCTTTTACTTTTTTCAAGCCACTATATCATGAGATTGTTAACTATCACTTTTAAGATGAACACCTGTACAATGTGTAATAAGTTTTATGAGATTCAAGAAGAAAAATTCTACTTATTCTTTTTGGTGCATAAGTGATGTATTTGTGTCTTCAAAAGATACGGTCAAATACTGGATTTGAATCAACTGAAAAGAAATAGTGATTATAAAACATTTGTTTTATGCCAATTAAGTCTCTTTAAAAACAAATCCCCTCTAATCAACAAATGTTTATCCTAACCAATGCAGTCCCTTCTCTACCATGGGAAGTGTCTTTTTATTTAGTATGAATACATCAAGTACCATCTTTGAACAAAGATGTGTAGGGTCTGATTGCTAATGTAGTTTGCATCATTAGTTCTGTGAGATAATCTGGTTTATATTTCATCTAACACTGAAATTTCAGAGAATTTGTGTTTGAAGAAAAAACTTTGAAAAAGTATTTCCAAGTTGTATATAGAGAGACTAATTTCAGCATAATAATTTGCTCAGTGTTATGCTTTGCCTGTAATTAATTATTATAGTTTTGCCCTATTAATTCGTTTCAAAATACTGAAAAACAGGATACCCTGGGGAGAAATTATTACATAGAAAACACAAATAGTACAGTGCATAAATGCAGTGAATCTGGCCAATGTTTTGCTGAAGAGGGCATCTGTTGTTCTTAGGCAGTGGGTGGGTCCTGAAAGGGCTCAGCCAACTGGAGTTTCCAAGGATCTGAGTTAAATGTGCCATCACTGAGCAAAGGAGTTTATGTCCCTAGTTCCAGAGTATGCATAATAACCTTTTTGACTTTATTATCCTTCTAATTCTGCTTTTTTACATTAATTATAACCTGAATTTTACTGTTTGCATAAAAATGAGGGTCAAAAAGGCCCGGAGTCTCTAAACCAGAACTAATGACAACAGTATACTGGCCATAGATTACTTATTGCTTTACTCACTACCAAAATGCTTTTTAACATGTTTGGGAAGAATTATGTTTTGGAATTTAGGTTTAAACCAGTCATAGAATAGAAATTCTGTGAACATTCACTCTGCTTTCTGTGAGACGGTAGATGTGTTTTGTGTGTGCCTGTCAATGACATTTTGGTTCACAGGATTTCAGAAAATGACATGCAATAATAAAACACTGTGTAAGACACTGCTGAAAGGCATAAAAATGGGTCATTCTTAAAATATGGATATGGATTATATTCAAAATCAAAAGAAGCACGTTTGAGAAATTGGATTCATCTTGTAATGTGTCTCTATATAGCACATTCCATCTAAAATGTAATAAATGTTTGGTTCTTAAAATCTGTTATACCAGTTTGAGATTAATATCAAATGAAGATGATTATTGATAATAATAGTTAATATTTATTGAGGGCTTATTATATGTCAAATGATATATTGTATTCTTTACATGGATTAGTTCCCTTTCCTAATTTTGGTAGCTTGCCCAGAAAACCGGAGTTGGTAAAAGCTGGAGCTGGGATTCTAACCTTCTAATCTGACCCCAGGGCAAATGCTTTTAACATTTTATAACATTATATAACAAAACTGTATAGTTTCTCACTATTACATGCATTCTTTCAATGATAAATACCTTAATATTCCACTGTTTTATAGATTGAATAAGAAATTGTAGGAAACTTTTCTTAACAAAGATTGTGCCTGTGCAACATTAGAGTTGAACATTTACCTCTTAAAACATGGTCACAAGCGTGTTTTGGTTTTTTTTAATGAATATCCTGTAAGAAGAAAAGTCACTGATATAAATAGCCAGGCAATTAAAAATACGTGGGCAATGTGACTATTTGCAGTGTCTTGTAGTTTTAACTCAATTACCCTAGGGAGTGGTAGCAGGATAAACAGATGGTGTCCTATCAGATAAAATGGCAGGCCACGCAGTCATAGAAGAGGACACTCCTTACACTGTTGCCCTCTGGTTCCTGGCAGTGGTGACAGGCACCTAGATCTGTGTAACATGATGGTGTTTTAAAGATGCCATGATATAATTCAGGGTCATCGGCTTTCTGCCATCATTACTATAAAATGCAATTTAATATGCACTTACAGAAATTTGGTAGCCAAACACATTGAGCCTAGAGTTGTGAGTTGGCAAGATCTTTCTTATAAATAAATGATCTTGATGATAAAATGAACCATAAGCTCATTTAAGTGAAGAATGTTTTCTTGATTATATGATGTATGTGGAGAATCACATGTATCAGTGATATTTAATGTCTGCTAGTAATACTGTTAAACAGGGAAGAAACAGGAATAATTAATCCAGAATTTGATACAAATTATTTCATCACCTACATGATTCAAACCAAAAGCAAAGAGAAACTTGAATGGTTCCAAAGTGGCGGATCTTTACCTGATTTTTATAAATGCCACTGGGATGTGTTTACATGTAGAACATACAACAAATAAATCCGAAGAATTTGCTCTGTGAGCATTTGGCATAAGACTGCAGAGGAAGATGTGAGTTCACCCACATGTCTTTGAGTTCTGAGTGTTTTAGTACCAAGCTGGCTAATGCTAAATTCAGCAAATTTGGGGAAGTAATGTGTGAAGTCTGGAAGCTGCCACTGTTCTAAATGAATCATTCCCAAGGAAAGTGGCTGCCTTCTATAGGAAACTGCTTCCATCTTCAATGATGCATTTTTTTTTCGGTCTGAATTAGTTCAACTGAAAAACAACAAGAAGTGCCAAAGCCAAATAAATTAGAGAAATATTGTGAATGAAATACAGAAACTTTAAAATTTAGCTCTTATGTTACTGTCATTACTAAAGTTGAATGTAGTGGCTAATGTAGAAGGAAAGAGGTGATTTGGCCAACTAATTTCTGAAATACTTGGTGTTAAGGAGTCAGGAGGGAAGTTGTTTTCACAAGGCAATTAGATCAATGGCTTTAGGATGTAAAAGTAGAGAGCTCTCTGATGCTATACTGAAACTTTACATATGCTAGGTGACATGAAAATCTGTAGCAATTTAGATAAATCAGGCCAGAACATTCCTTTTCCTGTGATCTCCAGAAAACCTAGGTGCATCTATCCCACTCTTATATTTTGGTTGAAAAAAAAATCATCCCCTTAATTCATCATGTTGTTGTTCATGTTATATTTCCAGTAAAGAGGGACTCAAGCCTGGGTGTTATTTTGTAACCCATCACAGAAGAAGCCCATTTTCTGTGACCTAAAAGAAACAAAGTGAGGAAATCCCCCTCCCCCGCCAAATAAAATGGCGCATTAGTAGCAATTTAGGACCATCCCAAACCCTGAAGAGATAAAAGGTAGATTAAGAGGTTAGGAACGGAAGATTATTCAGTTAGCAAAGGTGAAGTGTTCTAGGATCCTTAAATCCTTCATTTGCTGATGTCAGTCGCTTTATCAAAGAGGGATAACCCTTGATATTATTTGAGATTTAGGAAATAGTAATTGAAAAGAGACATATTCTCTGTAATGGTTATCTTTTTTGTAGGATCATATGTCACATAAAGTGTAAAATCTTCATGCACAATGTAAAAAAATTGTTGGAAATGCATGACGCTTGTGTAATAAGTATGGCTTTGGAATACAGATGTATAATATTTTATTCTGTATTCCTTATCTCCTGTCCCCTCAATCTTCCTTGTGTAGATTTGAGACATGCCATAATTAAATAAATCCATTTTAGGCTGGAAGAGGGCTTATGGTTCTGATCTTCATATATGTCTGTAGCAATTCCAGATGAATAATGTCTACGGAACATTGAGATGCTCTTCTTGCAATCAATATTAGATTTTTATGTTAGCCTAGAGGTAGGTTTATATACGAAGTGTGTTTAACAACAGAGCATTAATAAGGAAATTTATTCCACAGGGAGCTGATGCAGACTGTGGTTTCTGTCTTTGGTTAATTTTAGCATTCTAATTGGTTTAGATTAGAAACTAACTCTTGCTATAAATTGCCTATCTATAATTACACAATACATACTCTAACTACTTTCATTTTTTAAGAAAACACATCGAATTCTAAGATTTGCTGTAAGCAAACACCAGTATTTTCCTACACTTACCCCCCAACTAAAAGTAAGAGAGACTCTATTGCCTATCACATCAAATCTGTGTTTCTTTGCTGTGCCTTCAAGGCTCTCCAGCAAACTGTTCCCCCATCTCACCACTGTCACTTCACATTTGTACCCAACAACTCTCTCCTGTTTGTGTTTTAGTTTTACAGTGCTTGCAGAGAATGGTTCTTTCTGCTTCTGCAGTTTTGCACGTGCCACACCTCAGATGTGGAAAGCTTTTTTCTTTTTTTCTATCATTCCTTTAAAAACTAGGCTGAAACTCATCTCCAGAAAATATTCGACCTGGAGGGACTGGGCTGTAATGGTCAGTGCCTTTAATTTGGGTTGTTTTACTGGCCCTTCTTGCATTTGTTCATGCAGATAGCTTCGTTGCTAATGCTTATTTATATGCATTTTCCTTTTCTTTTGCTGGGTATAGGCGTCTATAGGGAACAGTCCTTGTCAACTTTGCCTTTGACTCTCCTTGTACACTGGTACAGAGTTCTGAAAGGTTATCAGAGCATGCCTGTCCCCTAAATACATGGCAGTCCTCCATGTTCTAAATCCATTAAATAATTGCAAGGGAATATTCATTTTTTACTCCCAAGCAATTACTGAGTAGCTCCTATGTGCAGATGCTGCATGAGAGAATTCAAAGCAGATCCCAGCTTTCCAGCTTTGTAGGAAAAACAGACATGTGAGCAAATAATCACAGATGGTGTGGTAAGTGGCAGAATAAAGGAGGGAGTGAACAACAGAGGGTTTTTTTTTTTTTTTTTTTTTTTTTTT